GTTTCCGCTGTACGAGGTATCTCGCGATATCCCTACATCACAGCAACACAGCCTTGCATGTCCTGGCTCGATTGGTGACTTGTGGGCGGAGATACAGACGGGGCGGGATTTAGACACTAATCCACCCCCGGGGGGCAGGTTGGGACAACATGTATATTTTGTCCATCAGCCATGGCTGCACCAAACCTGCACCGTTTCCGCTGTACGAGGTATCTCGCGATAGCCCTACATCACAGCAACACAGCCGTGCGTGTCCTGGCTCGATTGGTGCCTCGTGGGCGGAGATACAGACGGGGGGGGACTTAGACACTAATCCCCCCCCGAGGGGCAGGTTGGGACAACAGATATGTTTTGCCCATCAGCCATGGCTGCACCAAACCTGCACCGTTTCCGCTGTACGAGGTATCTCGCGATAGCCCTACATCACAGCAACACAGCCGTGCGTACCCCGGCTCGATTGGTGCCTCGTGGGCGGAGATGCAGACGGGGGGGGATTTAGACACTAATCCCCCCCCCGGGGGGCAGGTGGGGACAACAGATCTGTTTTGCCCATCAGCCATGGCTGCACCAAACCTGCACCGTTTCCGCTGTACGAGGTATCTCGCGATAGCCCTACATCACAGCAACACAGCCGTGCGTACCCCGGCTCGATTGGTGCCTCGTGGGTGGAGATACAGACGGGGGGGGATTTAGACACGCCGTTGTTTTGTAGGGTATTGTCACGGTTTGAAGGTACTGTGGTTGCCTGACTGAGCAGTGACCGGGACAACTATTACGAGTATTGTTCATAGAATAACGAACTGCGATCGGCGAATTTCTTTACCACTGCCCTCTTTTTCTCACCGTCCTGCCTGTTGCTTTTTTCGTTTCCGTCCGCCGTCGGGTTGTGATCATCTGTGAACAAACTATGCTCAGCCAAATGCAGAATCAGCCCGCGAACAAAGTCGTCTCAAGACAGGCAATCGTTGCCTTGATTATCACTATACAGTACATTACAACACAAAATATTTTCAAATTCGAAAGCACACATCTACCGTAACGCTGTGTGTGACGCGCATAAGCTAGCCTCATCTCTTGCTGTCCGTCTATGTCGGCCTTCGCAAATTCAGCCACGACCTCGCCTGCACCGGTCGCCGCGCCTGCACCCTGTTGGCCGTGGCCGCGCCTGCACCGGTGGCCGCGCCCGTTGCACCGGTGGCCGCGCCTGCACCGGTGGCCGCATTATTACCCATCGACGCAGGTATCTCGTCCATAAACAAACTCAGCACGATCAACACAGAAGGAAACGACCCACCAAGCGCGCACAAGTAGGTGCATATGTGTGTGAGGCGCATGCGCCAGCCGTGTTTCCTGGATGGACTCCACAGTTAGCTACCAAGTGGGTTGTGCCACAAGAACTTGTTGAAGGATTTGCCGCACAGCTGGGGGCTAACGTTGTCGGCAATAATTGACTTTCCTTTCCGGCCGTCGCCGTTTCCCTATGTCACTGCTCCACGGGCTTGCTTGCGCGGTGGCTGCACTGCACTTGCAGCTTCATCTGTCCTTTGCCGTCACATAATGTGGCGTTCTGCAGCAGGGAGGTGGCGGTGCTGTGTAGCTCGTAGTCTAGGCTTTGTAGTCTAGAGTACAACAGGTTACACTGCTGTGAGAGCGGTAGGCCCGAGCGAGCTTCGGAAAGAGAAATGTAGATAGATATTCTATTCAATTGACTCCCTGGTCAGGCTTTGATGGGGTGCTAGACGAGA